GGTATAAATATATACATTTTCTGCCCCCATGTCTTGAATTTGAGATCATTCTGAATGTATTCTAAGAGACTGAATCAAGCAGTGAAAGAGCGCACTCTAAATGCACTTCACGTAATGTAAGCGTGCACCCTGTAGGTGTGTTTTAAATGTTTTTGCAAAATACTCGATAATGTCAAATCGCACATCGTTAAAACAACAATTATGATATTATCGCAGACGATATATATCGCACATCCCTACCAAAAGCACAATATGACTTAATCCTTTTATCAAGTCTGTTTTTGCGGCGCGTTTCAAAGCGAAGCACACACTTTGTTGATACGATCAGGTCATGATCCGGTGTTTTCCGCGCCTCAGAACGGCTCGGTTCACAGTGAATGCACTGAACTCTTTTATTGCATGTGCTGTGAGTTTAGTGCGCCTTTGGGAACGCAACGGCCACCCGTATGCTTTTTCACATTTGCATAATTTCCAACATTTTAATGGACAGATAATTACAGCATTTCACTAAATTTGCAATGAGACGCGTTTGTAAACCTGTTTTCACTGAAGGTGGAGATTTCCGTCCAATTAAAAGCTCAAGGGTTTGCCTCATGCAAGTGTAGAAATCAGGATAAGCATTGTAATTTCCCTGCTGTAGTGTAAAGCAAAAATAATATACTTATGAAATATTCGTTTTCATTTGTTGCAATGTAATTGTTTTAAAATATATGGCTATTACTGTTATAGGAATAGTAATAAATAATATAAAATAATTATTGTTATTACAGTCTAATGGTTTGGCTTCCTAAAAGACTAAGACACTGTATCACAACTAAAAAGAGGGTTAAAAAGGTTCAAGTTAAAGTACTATTCAGTCAATTCCCTGACTTTTTTCTTTGTTCAATTTGCACACTGAACATTAGTTAGAAGTTAGAGCTCTTAATGTTGAGCTCTCAAAGTGCACCAGATGAATTTAGCTTTAAAATGTACAAAAGTCATCCAGAGGTTCACCCATCACAGTCTCACAGAATCCTGTGGGAAATCCTGCAGTGTGTACTGCTAGGGGTGTGCGATATATATCGTCTGCGATAATATCGTAATTGTTGTTTTAACGATGTGTGATTTGTCTTCTGAGAGCGTTTAGAGAGGGAAACGCTGAAATACTGGCAGGTAAAAGCACATGTTTATACTGTGCAGTAAACCACGCGATTGCCCTTGTATTCAGCTTCAGCTGTGAAACTTTATGTACTGGGAAGTGTATGTACTTATGGAATGTTTGTGTGTAACTGACTGTTTGCAAAGACCCGCCCTCCTTAGTTACTGTTGCTATGTCTGACAAGCCATGCTGCTCTCACACCACACCCATGTTCTCATGCTGTAAAAATACATCGCAGAGCAAAGAGGACACTGACAACACACCGACAGACAAGACAGAGCAGGTTACTTCTGATATGAAACAAGGTCTCGGCTTTAAAATTGTCTTCTTTTTTTTTTTTTTTAAGGAATTCAATCAATAAATATCCTACCGTTTTGTGGCTCATTAATGTGTTGTGACAGATCGCTGTGTTGCCTCAGTTCAAGTTGCACATGATCCGATCCTCTTTTCATATCATCTTAAAGGGGTCATATGATGCGATTTCAAGTTTTCCTTTCTCTTTGGAGTGTTACAAGCTCTTGGTGCATAAAGAAGATCTGTAAAGTTGCAAAGACTAAAGTCTCAAATCCAAAGAGATATTCTTTGTAAAAGAATGTTCTTTTTAGCAGCATCATATGACCCCTTTAAAGCACAAAATAAACATGAATGAACATCAGAATGCGTTTTTTCAAGTTTAAGTCCACTGAAGTTAATCTATTCTTGTGTTATGATTGGTCAGATGGCCTGTCACTCACGGTCAGCTAGCTGCAGTGCATCGGGAGAGCTGTGGTTATCAGTGTCACGAGATGCTGTCAGGCTGCTTGATTGGTTGGTGCTGTTGATGTGTTCCAGGCGCGTCCTCTGGATCAGCGTCCCCGTCCAGACGCGAGCAGCCGCTCTTCACACTGAAGCAGGTGGGCATGATCTGTGAGCGTCTCCTGAAGGAGCGCGAGGAGAAGGTGCGCGAGGAGTACGACCAGATCCTGACCACCAAACTCGCAGGTATCTGTCCCAAACACACCATGTGCTGTCCTGTGGAGGCCTGCCTTGGTTTGATGGAGTGCTTTTCTTGCCTTCCCAGAACAATACGATGCGTTCGTGAAGTTCACCCACGACCAGCTGATGAGGCGGTTCGGGGAGCAGCCAGCCAGCTGTACGTATGCGCTCGTCTTGTGCCTGCCCATTAGGGATGCACACATCACATTTCTTTTCTTCCAATACCGAACACCGCTTTTCCTCTTTGTTTTTTTTCCCCATGTATTTTGCCAGTTTTTTCACGATTGCATAAATCCATTGTGGCCATTTTTATTTTTTATTATTTTGTCTTGCTTCTCAAAGGAAAAAAAAAATCGGTTAGAAAACAACAATTTAAAAATATTTACTTACACTTAATATTTTTTAACATTCTAGCAGACATTATACCAACAAAGCATAATTTAACTTAAAATGAATGAGTCTGGTCATTTTTGAGACCCCCTTCTTGAATCAGGCTTGTGATTGGCAAAAGACACAAAAAGTGGAGTAATGATGCTGAAAATACAGCTTTGATCACAGCAATCGATTACAGTTTAACAGACAATCACATACAAAACAGTTAATTAAAATTGTAATCATATTTTACAATATTAACGTTTTTGTACAAATAAACACAGCCTTGCTGAGCAGAAGAGAATTCTTTGTTTAGTTGCTGTTTCCGGGCAGATCAGTGGTGTCTGTGTTAGTCTCATGAGCGCTGTTGTTCTGCAGATGTGTCCTGAGCGCTGTCCTGCGGATGGTGGAGCTCCTGTGGGTCTCCAGCAGTGCCAGACGCATCTCTCCCCACTCCGCACAGAGCTCGTGTCTCTCTCTCTCTCTGCAGCGGCTCAGTGCTTCCTGCAGCTATTACTCCAATCAGTGGCTCTTGTGTCTCTTACTGAACCCTGGATATTTATTAGGCTTTGACCATGCCTTTTACACAGCCACCTGTCATTACATCCTGGTTTTTTATGTTTGATTTATGTAAAATGCCTTTTATTCGCTGCAAATGCCGTCGATTGCCATGATAAATGTGAGACGTGTGTGAGGGAGACTGCGGTTCATAGCTTTGTGTAAATACTTTCATCTGGAGTTTTCATGTACAAATCAAATACAGCATTTATTTCGATTGGAGTCTGTTTTCATGCTTTGTATTTATTTTTGTTTTTATTTCTTTTGCCCCTTTCCTCTGCATTATGGTTTTACTGCTCCTGTAGTTTAAATGACTTATGTTGGGAAAGTATACAAATAAAGCGTTTACATAACTGCTGTTGTTTCTTGAACTGTCAAGTGCACTTTAGATTGGATAATTAGGGTTTCCTGTACGAGATTAACCAGTCGGTGCCTAAACCGACAAAACAGCACTGAGTGAAGGTGAGTAGATGAGCTGAAGCTGCACACTGGAGCACAGACTCGTGGACTGCTTTCATTGGGTCTGCTGCAGTGTAGAACAGTTGATGTCATCTGCCAGAGGATGTTTTACTCTGTGTTTACTGGTTAATGTGGAATGAGTTATCACTGGCAACTAAACCCAGTGTCTCCCGCAGGATTGTGTAAGACTGTCTGCTGGAGTCTGTAGTGGAGTCTGGGGAAGATCTGCATCAATCTGGTGCACTTTGAGAGTTCAGTATTAAGAGCTTTTTTAAGTGTGAACAGAGCAAGAAGTCTGCTTTGACTTCTGCCTGGACCTCAAACCAGCCTTTGGTTAATAGCGTCTCCGTCCACACAGGAACCAGTCAGTTTTAGTTTATAGATACTAATACTTAGAATTAATATACAAGGTATGTTTTATCTCTAAGATGGTAATATATTATAATACAACTAAAATGTACATTCAATATTCCATAAATATAATTAAAACACGTAGAGACAAAATATCCAGCAATGCAAATTACGTGACTTTTTGTCAAACTTTAGCACTTTGAAATACATGTTACAATTTATAACTGAATGTGACCGTTCATCCAAAATCAGGAAGGGGGCCAACACTTTTTCACACCACTGTACATATACATACAGTTCGTTTGTATTCTGATAATTATTGGTTAATTTGTTAAGATGTTTAAGGGTGAATGTTAAGATCTTGGTGAATGTTAATGGATAGAGGTAACAACTAATTGTTTCATTTGTTAATTTAACTGTTTTTAAAAGTTACCGTGTTACCACAGCAGACATACTGTTCTGAGATGAGAGAAAATAGATCGTTTGTGTTCCAAAGATATATCAAAATACTTAAATGTGAATCTGTTATAAACAATAACATACTCGCTCTTTGTTGTGCTTGTTTTAATACAGTGATTGCTTGATTCAGTGTATTTGATTGTTGAAATGACAGGTTTTCGTCACCTCCGTCAGATGAATATTTTGATAATATTTCGTTATGATGTTTTATATTTGTTGAGGAATTGTTAGTCACACGTGAAAGTGTAATCTGTCTGCTAACATGAGAATGTGTTTTGAAATGTTAAAAACATCTTGATTGCTGTTAAAGAAAAGGTTAAAGTTATATCACAGTCGAAGGTAAAAAGCAGGTTTTGATAAAAAAGAGAAAAGTTGGGAGGTTGCATCAAAGCACAGCTCAATAGCTTAGTACATATAAGATAATGTAGTTTAATTTGTCTGAGTACAAGGTTTTATTTTTCAATTTTGCACCGTTTTGCCCCACTTCTCATGAATCAGTTGTGTTTTTTGCTACTTGTAAAATGCCACATTTAGACTTTATTAATCATTAGAACAGAAGAATTGTAGATCTTAATGTAAAAATGCTGTTAATGAAGCAGTGCTGTCCTCATCTAAAGTACACTGAACAAAATTATAAACGCAACACTTTTCATGAGCTGAACTCAAAGATCTAAGACAATTCCTGGAAGCTGAAAACATCCCAGTTCTTGCATGGCCAGCATACTCACCGGACATGTCACCCATTGAGCATGCTTGGGATGCTCTGGATTGGCGTATACGACAGCTTGTTCCAGTTCCAATTTTTGGCATAAAAGAAAAATGTATAATTTTGACCCATACAATGTATTGTTGGCTATTGCTACAAATATACCCCAGCGACTTAAGACTGCTTTTGTGCTGCAGGGTCACATACGTCCAGAGGCAATGATTGAAAAGGTAAAGTAACAGTGGTAACACGTTCATTTGAATTATTTCTATTCGATTGCTCATGTCTAGTGCGAGCAGTTTGCGTGGTGACCTTTATTTTGAAAACGCGTCGAGTGTTGACGGTATCTGAGGTCAAGGGTCAAACGCGTGTTCTCAGACACGAGAGAGAGGCTTGTGTGAGCTCATGGCGTGTTTCTTCAGGAGGAGCGTCGCGCAGCAGGTAATCGCGTCGCGTCAGTCTGAGCTCCGGCACAGCACTGATCGCAGCTGATCGCTCTGCGTGTTTTACAGCTCGCCAAGGTGTGTGGACTCTCTGAGGACGTGTTCATCCCGCTCATCTCTGCAGTGCCCGTGTCGAAGAAACCGTGAGAAACCGCTACACTACACTCGGTTACTTTGTCTCCCTGTATTCACTGGCAGCTCTCCTGTGCTTACAGAGGCACTTCATTCAGTCTGTGGATTATTCATTTCAGTTTAGGCGTGAAAGCGCCCTTACAGTCACCAAAAATATACATTTTGGGTTTTTTGTTAAAAAAAAAACAAAGTAAGTTCAGCCCAGGTGACAAAAGTAACGCAAAAGTAACAATGCGTAGCTTTCAATTAAAAAAGTAACTAAGTGACACAAGTGGATACTTTTTTATAGAGTAACGCAATATTGTAACGCATCACTTTGAAAGTAACTTTCCCCAACACTGCTTCTCGTCACTGAGCTACACAGCAGCATGTGATGAAGATGAAGATGTGTGTGTCATACATGCTCTCCAGTCACATTCAGGAATGACTGCCAGGGTTTCTGCTAGATTTAAAAAGGTCTTAAACTCTTAAATCAGAGCAGAAAGCCGGGTGTGAATGTCATTGCATTAAGCCCCAGAGCCAGCCCTGTAGAGCGTGTGTGTGTCGTCTCAGGTCTGCCGCTGATCTGTGTGTGTCGGTGAAGCGTCTGCTGCAGGACGGAGCTGTTGCTGCGGAGGGAGACCTGCAGAGCCAAACACAAGCCCTGGCCAATCAGGTGAGTCTGGCACGAGGACAGAGCAGGGCTGATCACTCTGGGGAAGAAACGCAAACATGTTCATAAAGCTCCCCGCGGCAGACGTGACACTCGCAGCTACTTCTGATGAGCTGAGTAAATGCTTTGGGGAATGACAGTGTGAGCACTACTGTGGTTGTGCATCAGGGCCCGTATTCACAAAACATCTTAAAGCTAAAAGTAGCTCATAATTCGCAGATTTAGGAGAAAATCTTAAAAATAATGGCCGTGTCAGTCTTCAATTTAGGACTCCTAAATTTTTGTTCTAAGAGTGTTTCACAAAGTGTTTTAGCAGTAAAACTAGCTCCTAAATCTGTGAAACGTTAGGAGTAGTGAAGAGGACTCCTAAGTCACTAAGACCAAGCCACAAACTATCCTAAAATAACTGTTGCTAGCAATCTGTCTCGGAACAGAAACATTTTTAGAAACATTTGACGATAATGTGCTTTTAAAAAGGTATCACCTGTGGTTTTGGTGGTTATCTAACTCCAGATTTTCCTTTGATTATATCCTTGTTTTCATTAATCAGCTCGGCAAGAAGTAACAGCTGTGCTTGCGTCCAGTTTGTAATTAAACCAAACAAAACCAATGTTATTATGAGGAGGGTTCATATGAAGGCTGTTTATTTGCATATACACTAATTGTTTACAAGAAGCACACATGTAAGAGGCTGACAATTAGCCTGCATTTTTTTAAAAAATCATTATTTAAATGTGGCAACATATTATCATGCACTACACAATTTCTATGAATAAATCACTGTGTGCATAGTTAATAAGCACGCTGACATCATCCATAGCAACGAGCTCAGCCCCGCCCCCTTACTCTGAGCTTAAGACTTCTCTCTGTTCCTCAGCAAAGGGTTGTCTCCGCAGCTTTGAGAATAGGTTTAAAGGGGAAACTCTTAGCGAAGAGCTTTTGCTGCTCTTCAGGAGAACGCTTGGTGGTAAGATGAAGTGTTTTGTGAATGCGGGCCCAGATGGATGTGTGTGTTTCTCTGCTCCAGATGAAGCTGGATGCTGTGGTGGAGGAGGTCGTCGCTGGCCGAGGAGTGCTTCACTTCAGACTGAACAAACTCGTCCTGGCACAGGTGAACACACTCCTGAATCACCCTTGGCTGCAGGTTAAGCTGTGTAGACCTATTACAGCAATATGTTTGTCTTTTTCTGGTTTGACAGCTTGAATGAAGCCAATGCTACATATATATATATATTGCCTTTAATGTTAGCATGACATTAAAATTGTATAGTCTAAATGCATATTATAGATCTCATTGTGAATGATTCGTCCATGCATACGTTTCATTTTTTTAATGTTTTGACCAGTGTTGGGAGTAACACATTACAGGTAACATGAATTACGATCACTTTTCCAGGTAACTAGTAAAGCAATGCATTACTTTCAAATTTACAACAAAATATATTGAGTTTCTTTTTCAAATAAGTAATGCAAGTTACTCTGTTTTCCCATTTATTCACTGACTCCTCTCCTGTTTCTGTGTTGAGAGAAAAACAGAAATTAAGTCTTTAAAAGGGCTACACAAAATATATTTCTCTTAACAAAAGAAAAAAAAAACTGCGCGACAAGTAGCCTATATGCTACGCTCGTTTTTGTGACACTCTTAATGCATTTTATTTATTTTCTTTATATCTTTATTTGATTTAATCGCGCTGGCGCTCGCGCACACACAAACAGTATTAGTTCTAGCGTTGCCTGACATTTCAGCCATTCATCATCAAACTAAAATACAGTCAACCAAACATAAAAGTCACACTATTTATTTTAAAGGTCCGCTGTGAAATCAGCGTGCAGCGCCCAAACAAACATTTGTATGCATGTGAAGGATTTAACGCGGATATTAGAGCATGAGTGAAGTATAAAGCCATGTTTAGGCTACATAATGAATAATAGTTAAGCAACCAAATGTTACAAATATGGCAAAAATGGAAACATTTGGATTCTAGTTGAATGCAAGAGGCTCGTGAGCCCAATGCCGTTTCAGTTTTGCTTGACGTTTGCTGTTTATAATAAATGCCACTAGCTTATAGCGTTTTTTTTTTATATTAAAGTTTAATATATAATTTTATAGCTGCTTATTTTGTCCTTCTTGTTCTGTAACGTCGTTAAATGTAAAGGATTTGTTGTGGAGTGAAAGGAACTAAATAATGTTTATGTTTGTAAAGGTTTCTTTATATTTACCGGTATTTAATATACACATACATTAATGTAATTGTTTGCAGTTACAAGGTTAACGGGTGTTTTTGGAGTAAGATCAATCTCTCTTTGATGAGATTACCTCCTCTTTTAGGCCGGGTTTCGTTTCTCCGTGTCGTAAACTCTAGGGGCGAGGCTTCTAAACCAAGGTGTTTTTAGGGGCGTGTTATTCTAATGATGATTGTTTTCTGCCGCCACATTTATCAACGTGCGAGCATTCGTATGATGAGATTGGCGGCATACGAATGCTTCATGAATCACACGTGAACTCTGTCGTAAGGTGATTTGTGCAGTGAGATGAGTAAACACATGTTCATATTTAGTCTAGAACTACAGTAACACACAACGCTCTGCACTTACTCCTGATTTCTGTCACCATGGCAACACCAGAGCTGTCACTCAATACATGGAAACAAAGTAACGGCTGTTACTTATTTGAAAAAGTAACGCAGATATTTCCTGCTAAATTAAAAAGTAATTAGTTACTTTACTAGTTACTTGAAAAAAGTAATCTGATTACGTAACTGGCGTTACTTGTAATGTGTTACCCCCAACACTGGTCACAATACAGAAGAAAATATCTGTTGCTACTTCTATTTCATTGTGATTTTTTTCTAATTAAAGTGTGTCTGGATGTCTCTCACACTCTGTTTTCTTCAGAAACTCCTAGAGCAGCTGCGCTCAGATCCAGACGGGTTTGGTGTGAAGAGTGAGTTTCTGCGTCATCTGCAGGGAGGAAGGACGCTGGTGGAGTTTAGGTGGGTTCATTCGTAGATCTCAGTCCTGTGACCGGCAGAGACCCTATAGCGCCAAACATCCACTGAACTGCAGCACAGGCCTGCCAACTCTTCATCTGTTTTAAGCCAACAATATTTGGTCTTAGTCTTTCATCTTTTTATTTATATAGCACCATATAATTACAATGTTCATTGTCCAAGGTGCTTTACAATTCAAAGATAAAACTAAATACCAACAAAAAGAAAACAATATAACCCTAAAACAGAGTTAAGAGAAGAAAAACACAAAAGGCCACATATATACACATTATTTAAAAGCAAGAGAGAAAAAGTAGTCTTTAAGTTTATGCTTAAAAATGGACAAAGTGGGTGCGGATCTAATGTGTTGTGGTAAGCTATTCCAAAGATTGGGACCGGCTACCTGATGAATTGAAATAAGGTCAGAAAGGTATGTAGGAGCAAACCTATGAATAGACTGATAAACAAATATAAGTACTTTAAAATCAATCCTATATCTTACAGGCAGCCAATGGAGGGAAGCAAGTACTCCCGCTTACGTGTGCGCAAAAATACGTGACTATTACAATAGTCCAGCCGTGATGAAATTAAAGCATGAATAATCTTTTTTGTGTCCATAAAATTAAGAAATTACTTGATTTTGGAGATTTGACGAAGATGGGAAAAGCAAGACCTAACAATTCAATTAACTTGCTTATCCATTTTAAGGTGACTATCTATAATATAGCCCACATTTTTAACGTGGTTTCAAATCAAACTTAAATTGAGAGAACTTTGCTTTTAAAGTGACTGAGGAGGATGCTGGACCAAACACAATAATCTCAGTTTTCGATTCAAAATGCAAGAAATTTGTAGACATCCAATTAGTTAAGTCTTTCAAACAGGCTGCCAAGACTTCGAAATCATTTATATCTCCTTTTTTGAATGGTAAGTAGATTTGAATGTCATCTGCAAAGCAATGGAAGGAAATTCCATGTGTCCTAAAAATATTCCCCAACGGAAACATATAAAGAGAAAACAAAATGGGAGCAAGAATAGAGCCTTGTGGGACTCCACAGGTAAGCTTGGCTACAGATGCAGTGTGGTTTGCAATATTAACTGCACAACATCTGTTATGCAAGTAAGATGCAAACTATTTCAGAACATTACCCCGTAGGCCCACATAGTGCTCTAGATGAGAAAAGAGAATGGAATGATTAACTGTATCAAACGTTGCTGTTGGGTCTAAAAGTACTAAAATAACAGAATTTCCAGAGTCTGTAGAGATGAATACATCATTACATACTTCCAAAAGAGCTGTTTCAATACTATGGCGCACTCTAAAGCCTTGAATTGGATTGAATTGGCACTCAAAAAAATCCTGCAATTGATTGAATACAACTTTTTCTAAAATCTTCGCAATAAAAGGCAAATTTGAAATAGGTCTAAAATTAGAATAAACAGAAGGGTCAAGGTTCGGTTTCTTCAGAAGAGGCCTAACAGTTAAGAGGTTAATACATTATAAATGAAAGCTTTTCTGAAGATCCAAAATGTTTAAAATAGCATCTATAACAGTTTAGTGGCATATTAAAAGTGATGGTGTCAGTATATAATGAGATATTTTGGAGTTTTTTTTTAATACAGCCATGTCATTATTATTCAACGCTGCTGTTTTTAAGTCACTTATTTGCATGGTAGGGTAAAAAGAAATGTGTTAAAACAAAAATAAGTCTTTGGAAACTCTTTAACAAGATGTAATTTTGTTGAGCTGTTACACATACATATGGCCAAGTCAAAAGAGCTCTCTCAAAGACTACAGAGAATAAATTAGACTCGTAGCTAGTTTCGTTAAATTAGACAGTCTATGGCTACAAGAAGATGCTAAATGTGTTTTAATAGCTCCGTCTTAGTACATTAGTTAGTGCCAACTAGGTGTAAATAACTGTTGCGGTGAAGGAAAGCCTTGTTTTGGCATGCGTACACTGTGAGTAGCACACCCGTTAGCTTACAGCATGTTGTGATGTAGCCTGTGGCTCTGTGGTGTTATACACTGAACTCTCTGTGCTTTAGTTCTCCAAATATCGCTAAGAAATTTCACGCCGGACACCTGCGCTCCACTATAATCGGTAAGGTCATTACTCTGTTGAAATAGTTCTGCAAGTGTCAAATGCAATGCGTTCCTGTTAAACTAGTTACCTCTGTCACCAGCAGAGGGAGTACTGGTGTACAAATATTCTGTGTTTGTATTGAACAGATGATTTTAATAAAACAGTAGTTCACAAACACGTTCTCAGCTTAAATTATGAGCTCTGTTTCTTTTGGAGGAAACTTCATTGCCAACCTAAAGAAGGCCTTGGGGAAGGAGGTCATTCGAGTCAATTATTTGGGCGACTGGGGAATGCAGTTTGGTAAGTTACCTGTTACCGTTATTAACAATCCAATGCTCTTCATTGACTCTGTATTGCGGGAAGCTGCCTCCTTGTCATTTCTGACTTATAACAAAATACAGAACAATGTCTAAAAGCTGCTGTGTGAAAGTTCTCGGGTGCAGTTCTCGGAGTAATAGACACGTTGCGCTCTACTTTTGAGTCCTAAACGCTCGTTTTTTGGGTCGACAGCTTATAAAAACGTAGTTCTGGTTTTGTTAGCATGTTTGCTGTACACCTCGTCACACAGCAGCTTTTAGACATTGTTCTGTTTTTTGTTATAAGTCAGAAATGACAAGGAGGCAGCTTCCCGCAATACAGAGTCATATTGCGCGATGACGTCAGTACGTAATCACTGCAACATTGTCGCATCATCAAATCTCAGCCAAAAAAAATATAAAAAATGATATGTGTTAATTTAGATTTGTTCGTAAAATAATATAATATAGTATATTAAAATATAAATAGCTATTTAAAAAACAACAACATTGAAATATTGAACACTTACACATTTTTGAACAATTTAAGGTTTTTTATTAGATAGTAAACTAGTAAAACTACACATTCTGAACAATTATAGTTTGAAGCAGTGTATTAGTAGTTAGTTAGTATGCTACACTCTAAGATGAGTGTCAAAATAGGGCACAATCTACTGTGTTAACATGAAGGAATTTTGCGTATTGATTTTTCACAGGTTTTTAACCTCATTTTAAATTATTGTATTTTGTGTTTTCGGGTTACAACGGATAATGGATTATGGATTTGTCCTGGAAAATTGCTAGTACCTTTTCCATTTTTCTAGATATTTTTCTTACAGTGTACTAAATGATCGGCAATCGCAGGTACAAGGTGTATCATAAATGAACAGTGATTTAATTATTATTATTAAACGGAACAACTGAAAATAGCAGCTAACTTAATGTGTTGTGTGTACTGCTTAGCATCTTTGCTTTCCTCTTTTTGTGTAATTTAGATGGAAAATGTGTGCCTTTTTATCATTTGAGTCACTTATTAAAAGTGCTAAATTTGTTGCTAGGTGCGTTTGGAAGCAAAAGTTGCTAGGGTAGTGTGAAAAGTTGCTAAATTTATCAACAAAATTGCTAAGCTGGCAACACTGCAATGGAGAGCGTTGGATTGTTTCCCCGCCGGTGGGCGAGGTTTTCAGATTGTGACGCGTGTCGCTCGGTCTCTGTTACATACTGTATGTGTTATCTCCTGTAAAAGGGCATGTGGTATCTCAGTGAGCCTGGTTTGAGTCTGTGGTGTCTGGTGTTTGCAGGTCTGCTGGGCGCAGGCTTTGAACGCTCCGGCTCTCAGGAGAAGCTGAGGACGCAGCAGCTGGAGCACCTGTTTGAGGTCCGCTCTGAGCAGACGTCTGTGTGTTTGGCTTGCACGCGCTCACATCTGTTGTTCTGCAGGTGTATGTTCAGGTGAACCGCGAGGCCGAGCACGATGAGAGCGTGCGTTTCGTGAGATCACGGTGGACGAATATAAACGCATCTATCAGGTAATATCAGGTCTCGTTCGTGAGGGATTTATGTGTTCATATCTGGGAGTGCTTGCGCTCAAAACAAAAAATAAATAATAAAATAATAACAAAGCTGCGTTTGAGGAATGGCGTGCATTGGTTGAGTGCAATTAAAATGTGAAATTAAATAGTTTTAATGTGTATTTTAACTAATGCGAAACTCTAGATTCTGCCTTTGCCTAATGCATTAAATTATGCCAATTTTATGCACGTGTGTAAAATCACATTTCAGATGTTAACGTTCAGGATTTCTTATGCATCTTCACAGCATCTGTGACTTCGGCAAGTTTGATATTCTAATGAGCATTTGACTGGATATTTGATACTGATTCGTATTGAACATATTTCAGGTGCATGTCGATTTTTCTTAAATCTCTCTCAAACAATGCTGTAAACTGTACCGGTAACCCTGTCAAGTCATACAATACTATACTATTAAAGGATAAAATGAAGAATAAACTCTTAAAATCAGTGTATTTTCATGTATAATATTCAACACTCAAACAGCAAGGCAGGTTTCATGAAGCCGCATGTATAAACTGAACTTCTTGAGAGTGTCTGTCAAAAACTGAGCGTAACTCACGATAATGAATAGAAAGAGACATGTGACCTGCTCCATCATCTTGAGTTGTTTTGACCCAAAAGCACATTGCTAATAACAAATTAAGACTTTAAAAAGTACAGAAAGTCTTACATTGACTTGAATGAAAATGCAAAAATGAATATCTTCCTCAGTATTCTTGTCGTTTTCCAACATAAATATCCAGATGTTCTTAAATCAGGATACATTTAGTTGAGATGCAAAATGAAGATATGAAGCCTTGTGTTCTGAGAAACTGAGAGATTACAGAACAAATATCTGTCGGTGAGGAATGAAAATGTGTTGTGTTGTTGACGGCGGTGTCTGTGCTCTCTCAGCGTTTAGGAGTTGACTTTGACCATTACTCTGGAGAGGCGTTTCATCACCATCAAACCCAGAGTGTGCTGGACGAGCTGACGACCGCAGGACTCTTAAAGACCACCGAGTACGACACTAAATAAAACCCAGCAATCTACACATAAGATGAAATCAACAGATGCTAATTTGTCTGACTTTGAAACATATAGCCTTCTGCCACATAAAACTCCATGCGATCGCCTGAATATGAGCTGCTGTGAAAACTGCTCAAACACAGCATTTTCACCTACATTTTTGTCCCGTTTTGCTCTTTCAAGTGTGAATCACTTCATTCCCGAAACTTTGCAGCGTGTATGACATGCTGTGAAAAATAAAAGTTCTGTACAAATTCTGAATGGATTATTGGCTGTATAGCCTAGAAAGCACACAAAGAGCACTGCCTTTATATTCACTAAAAAGCTGTTGCTCGTCTTAGTTCAACGCGATCGCATTAAGTTTTGTTATGAGAGGATTCTCAAGCTTGCCTTTCACTGGACTCAGCACAGACAAAAATAAACCCTCTGATTCTCTCCAGAGTGCAAACACAATGCATCGCATTGCCAGATCAGTTTCGCCAATATGATAGTGAATAGATCATATCTTGTTTTTAACTAAAATATGAGTCCATAATCCATAATAACGCTTCCTCCAGTGAAAAAGTGTTCTGGTCTGAATCAGGAGAGAAATCTGCACAGATCAAGCAGCGTTTAAACAGCTCTAAACAAATCTGTGGCTGGATTTTGATGTGAGCGACAACAGCAGATGCACTTTTTCACTGGGTTATTGATTATGGACACCTTGTCACTTCAAACGGTTATTTGTGTGAAGTATTCTTTGAAAGGACACATCTGTCAGTCAGACATAATGGTGGTGTGGTAACTGACAGTGACTGGTTGTTGTGCAGGAAGGGCACGGCTGTGGTGGATCTGTCTGGAGCGGACGATATGTCGTCTTACGCCACACTGGTGCGCAGTGATGGGACGTCTCTGTACATCACCAGGTGTCACGCACCTCTCTGAGCCACACACACACTTGTGTAGAGTTTACAGAGTCGTCTCCTGCCGTAACACGTGTCATTTCTGTTTGTTTAGAGATGTCGCAGCTGCGCTGGACAGGAAGCAGAGGTTCGGCTTTGATGAGATGATTTATGTGGTAAGAACTGTCAGAAATCACTGCTAAACCACACAGCTCTGCCACTCTCTGCATCAGCTCCTCTCTCCATCCCTCTTTAAGACCGATAAGAGTCAGACAGGCCACTTCAAGCAGCTCTTTCACATCCTGCGAGCCATGGGACACCGGTGGGCAGAGAGGTACACACACACACACTCACACCTCACACACACACACACACACACACACACACACACACACACGTATAGTCTCGCCCTGACTCAGCAGAACTGTTCAGCATCTCTGATCAACACAGCAGTGATTCATTACTGAATGAATCCACGGTTTTGCATGCATTAAATGAGTAAGTGATTCAGTGACTCAGAGTCACTTGCTTCATTTCATGTTTGAATGATTATTAAAGCTTTAAGGGCTCACTGCAGGTTTTATCCTAAATAAAAGCTTGATGGTTTAACCCAGTGTAATTTTAGTATCTTTGAGACACTTATCGTTTTTATTAATATTTTGAATCCGTTTTTAATTTTATATTTTCCATTTTTATTTTATTTTAGTTGAAGTTTTAATCATTTTGTTGTGTGTTATAGTAATTTTCATGTCTATATACTGTCTATTTTTTAAATGTAATTTTTATTATCTTTTAGGAACAAACTTAAACATACATATGTATTTGTTCTTATATTTGTTGCGGGTCAACATAGTTCACGAAACATGAACAAACTAAAAACAATTGACAAAATTATATAAATAAATAATACATGAATCCAACGAAAGGGCCTTTAGTAACTTTTAAAAGCTCAAATGATACATCCAAAGTTTTTGTCAGCCGAACCTCTTCAGAATCAGAATCAGAATCAGAATTAGCTTTATTCGCCAGGTGTGCAAACACACGAGGAATTTGTTGTGGTTTTTTTGCGGTCCGCTCTGAACAGCTGGAAGCCCGTTAGATGTAATGCACTGTCCGGGATGGCTCCGTGAAGCCAGGTTTCCGTGAAGCAGAGCGCCGCGGAGTTTAAAAAGTCCTTGTTTGTGCAGGTGAGGTCCTGCTTGATGTGAAATATTTTCTTGAGGTTCCCCGAGATTTTAAGTTAATATTTCAACACATTCACATATTTACGGTTCTTTATACTGGTGCGTGTGAACAGATAAAATATCCCATCTTTTTTTAGTAAGCATTTTATTTTGTAGTTAGTTATTTTTAATTTAAGTTGTTATATTTAGATGTTTTTATTGTAAAATGATTTATATATAGGATTGCACAACTTGACCAAATGATAATGCTGTGTTTTGTTTTGTCATATATTGTGATATGATGTTTAATTTCATATGAAAATATCTCATGTTGCTGCTGCTGAGACTGTACTGCTGATGGAAGTGGTTATAAGGGTCTTTACACTTGTTCACTCTTCATAAGAACCAACACAACAATTACAATACAAACATTGATGTCTTATATTTTTCACTATTCGACGTTCAAATGCTCAAGCTTTTATTCTGACAGATTACTGGTGAAATTCTGCAAACTTCTGCACACAAAAAGGTTGTAAATGATGCAAATGTAAATGAAGTGACCCTTGTGTTTGTGAATACAGCTTAAACTCACAGTGGCAGCAGAGATGCAGCATTTACTGTGAACTGCTTGAAACTGACATGGTTCCTCTTGATTAAAATGCAGTTTCATATTGCCTTAAAACCTAGTAAAGCCCAGTGCCTGCATCTGCGATCGAACCATTGCTTTCTCTATTTGTAACTCCTTTACTAATGTGCACTGAATTCGTTGATTTGTGTGCGGCTAAAACATAAGAGGTCATTATTATAATGTTAGATCAAATCTCAACACCAGAAATATTGCATTAAAATAAATATTGCAGTGTATTTACCAGATGCTGTCAGAAGACATCCGTTTCATCCGTATCCAAGCCAGTTCACAAAACTGTATTAATCAATAGTCTTGTGTCAGCCTGGGAGGTCGACTGAGGAGACAACGTGATGATTATAAAAGCTGAGCAGAATTTATTGAGTAATCTTAGTCGTGTATGTTTTGATGCTCAGACTTTGTCTGACTGGCACAAATCCAGCAAGTGGTGTTATACCAAACTGATTCACATCAACATCCCATAAAAGCTTGAGACTGAGACATCCCCTCTTATCTGTGAAGACAAATGTTACATGATCCCCACAAACAACAATAGCAAGCACTGCAAGAGCAAGGAAAACACCAATATAACATGACTATGATTATAAACGATAAAGCAAACTTGAGAAAGTAAAGCAGAACACAGATGTATGGTTTACACACTCAGGCTGCTAGTGAAACACATCCTCGCAGGGGGGATCTACTGCCACACTAAGAAAAAGCTGTGCCACCACAGCATAAAATATTAATGTAAGCAGTGTTTCATGAGCTACTTTTCAGCCGCGGCGATGACAGAGTAACGCAAAATAATGGCCAAAACACGTCTTTTAATAAACTGCACGATGGTTGCACGCACGCAGCGTGCCAGTGTAGTGGGCTTCTTTAACAAATGACTTATGAACCGGATCTTTTGAGTCAAAACCACAAAGTGCGGCGCAGTTCACTAACTAATTGTTCTTCCATTTGTTCGTGAATCAGACAATTACTGCTGTTCAGGTAACTCAGAAGTCCTCTGAGAAATCTAATCTCGTCCGGATATGTCTGAGATTCATCGCGTAATTGTTTGGTGATCCGATTCTCCGACCGCTCGCTCCACTTTCATCATGAATATAAGCCGTGACAATAACATGAGATCAATAAGATGCTGATCACGGAAACTAATAGCAGAGTTAGGTAAGAATCTAGTCGTATTGCAGTTTTCTCGATTGTTAATATAACTGCTCTTAGTTGGCACTTTTTCCCCCAAACCATTAATTCAGTTTTCAAAACAAAGACACATTTCTCAAAGTTTAACAATGAGTAGTCTAAAAACTGATGACACCCCAATCAGAATCTCTGCATCATCTACAGGGATTTATACTTACACATACAGTATAATTACAGTACAGTACATTAGATCATGGACATTTCACTATTCTACATGTACAGTAAACTGTAGCACATGTTGTACACCTTCAAGCGTGTGACTGTCAAACTTTATTTGTAACCATTTTTTATGTGAACTGCATTTCTGCAGAACTGAGAAATGACTGGTTAGAGATATAGCTAGTCTTGTGTCAGGAGACCAATAAAATGCTGTAGTGCTGTATACTGTATACATTTGGCCAAATGTGCAGAGGATGCTAAATTTACTTTTTTAATGTAATTTTTTACTGTACTGTATTGTGGTGCATGCCAAGTTCATACAATTCTTTGGTATTTGAACTGATCTAGTGCTTTTCATCTACTGCAAGATTACTTCACAGTAGTGAAATGAAAATGATTGTTTTCCCAAAAGTTCATTGCTGAATTATACATCTGTATCTGTAATTTAATTTATGTATACTGTAATAGAGCTGCAAATGCAAAAATTCCTGAATCCTAAGAGTTTTTTGTTACAGTGTTATTGATCTGTGTTCACTGCAGGAAAGTCACCTGTGTGTTTGAATTGTAAGCATTTAGTGTTTTTCAACTGCTTACACACAAAATCTTTACTTGTCAGACAGTTTCTGAAAGCTGACACTCAAATAGCAGAAGCACACACCAAATCTGCAAAACCATACGCTAATATTTGGCCTTTGACTCAGTTTTCAATTTCATAAAACACTTTTTGCAAAACACAACACACAGTTCTCTGTAAAACACAAAATCTAACAGGAATTAATATTACGGCAAAGGTGTTTGAAAATGTTTGCTTTTTTTTGCAAACGAATGATCCTCCGACTGAAGGAAGCGCCTCTGCATCAACACAGGAACAGGAGAGGAGTCGAGGAATACATAGAAAAACAATTACTTGCGTTACTTGTTTGAAAAAGAAACTAATTTAAAATGCATTACTTTACTAGTTACTTGAAAAAAGTAATCTGATCGCATAACTTGCGTTACCCCCAACGCTGGTGGACGAAATGAATCATATTTTCTTAAGTGTTCAACATTTTTATAATACGGCAGCAGCTCCAGTGACATCTTTCTCCATTTCTAAACGCATCACAAAGTTTTGTGTGGAATAACTGAAGCGCATGTAAAGGAAAGTGCTTTTACATCTGAAGAGGATTTGGATTGATTGGGACTGATGCATGTAGTCTGTCCTCAGGTTTAATCACGTCTGGATTCAGACGCCGCGTGTGAACGCATCAGTCCGTAAGAGCCAACATTCAGAGACCACCCCGGATGACCAGGCCTTCCCTAAACACAGGATTCAACATTCGCTCTGTAATTTACAGCTTTCCAAACCCATAAGGATCCTCGCGTTCAGCTTGCGTCAATATTTAAGAGCACTTATACAAATAACATTGGCAATCTAAAGAATAAACCTGTCGGAAGAGCACAGGGACATTCAGTGTAGGGTTTGGTATCAGTGCATCTGCATCAAGACCTAGAAATGAAATTACACAGAGAGATAAAACAACCCAGAGGCTCCTCCTGTCCAGCAGAGCAGATGTGTGTCTGTCCATCAGACTGTGATGAGTCTCTGTGTGTCCTCTCCGTCTGAGCTGGGCTTCTGCACTCTGCTGGTGTCTTGTTTGGGCAGGCCGTACAGGTAGATGGACACGCACACCAGCAGCGCTCCGCCGAGGAAAGCCGCCGCTGCAGAGAGCCAAGAGTGTGTGAGCACAACACAACACCCCACGAGGCTGCGCTGGACAACAGCAGCTCAAAGCATTCTAATTCAAGATTACATTCAAAAGATGTATCTGTTCTGTATTGTAACACTTTATTTTAAGGTTGTTTCATGTACTAACCGTTATAACAACAACAAACAATGCATAAGTAACCCGAAGCCAAATCCTAACCTTAAGCATATAATAAATACACGTAGTTAATATTACTCAGTACTTCAATGTATAATCGCACTGTAACAAGGACGCCTCAAAATCAAGTGTTTTTCATGCATTAGTCTATTCTGAGATTTTGCTCTGTTTTGCTCCATAACATGTCTTCTTTCAGACTTGTAAAAGAAAACATTCAAAATACATGAATGCTAGCGTTTATTACACTTTATCTACTTGCGTCTGTAGATTTGTTTCTTTAAAGGTGGTGAGTTTTTCTCCACTTCTGCAGCACTTACACACTCCACACTTTTCCTGTCTATATTCTGAAGGCTTTTTGGAGTTCATATATCACTCGCACTGATTATACAGCATTTTACTCCTAAACTTTTGAATGGGGTCATTTTTATAAATTCAACTCTTATTTTCTCTTGTGGACTATATGTAAACTTCTTTTATGTGAAATATCTTATTCAGGTCAGTACTAAATAAACAATAACATGCATTTTGTGTGATCCCTCTTATTTTGGTAAAATAATTAACATTTTGCAGATTCTGCAAGGTGTATGTAAACTTTTGACTTCAACTGTATATACACCAACTGATCAGAATACGATGTGACTGAGCGATACACTCACTGATCTGCAGGCCGAAGAGAATGACGGACGCCACGGTGGACAGGACGATGGCAGCGGCCGTGGAGAAGCCCTTCATGATGTTATCAGTGTATTTGACCACCACAGACGTGTACATTCCTCCCACGCTGGCCAGAACTGCAGGCAGAGAGAGAAACCCATCAAACCGCTCCATGTGTTTAAATACACAGGACGTTCCTGCTCAGTGAGCCCTATCCTCCAAACACACCACTTCAGAGAGCAGGAGTAAAGGCCACGCAGGAGCTACTCGCAGATGACTACGCAGACCCACGGCGTGTATCCGTAGAAGAAGCCCTTCTCCAGGACCTGGGCCCCGTCCGTCACAAAGACCCCTATGAGGGTCACCACGATTCCCGACAGGTACATCTGGATGTTACGCACCCACAGAGACGTGTCCGAACTCTTCAGGACCTTCTCGAAGTACACACCTGAGCCCAAACAGAGCGTCACTGATGCTCCTCACCAGAAACCCTGATCATAAACACGACTGAACACATCGTACCTGCAAACCCGGAGCAGAGCACCGCCACCGCGATCGCCAGGAAGCCCAGGAACGGGTTCTGCTCCACCTGAAGCACAGCGACACAGATCATACAAAAAATACAGTTTTTACTGTATTTTTGATCAAATAAATGCAGTCTTGCTGAGCAGAAGACTCTTTCAGAAACATTAAAAGGTTTTGACTGGTGGTGTGCAATGCTCTGGAGGCTGCTATCTAGACTGTACAGGTTTGAAGCAGGCAGTGAATGGGCTCCTATGGGATCTCCTGCAGCTGTACCTGGACTTTGGTGGCCTGCGGCGGCGTCCACTGCACCAGCGTGACTCCTCCACACAGCATGAAGACTGAGAACCACTGCAGGCGGCTCAGAGAGCGGCTGAGCATCAGCACCGTACACAGCGCCGTGCAGGGGATCTTCAGCTGATACGTCACCGGACACACACACAGCCGCATTCAAACTCACCTTTCCCCACCCAGCAGAAAGCACTCATTCACTTGAAGAAGCATCACACGCTGATCTCAGGGCTCCCAGAATCGGAGGCATGTACGACTCAAACAGGATATTCAATGAGAAAAACAGGTACGGCGAGACTCTCCCTGTGACTGACAGCAGCGGGACAAAGAAGACAGATTTACGGTTTACTTATGAGACAAGTGGCTTCAGAGTGCACTGGCGAGCAATAACAACACAGAGTAACGATATCAATGGCATCACTTTTCTAACTGATGGACAATAAAAACACTGACAGCCAATCAGGATCCACTGGACATTAGAGAGCTGGAGGATTTAATGCAGCAGAAGACTGTTAGAATAAACTCGTTATCGTGTGTTGCTGTGAAGGGGCCTTTCATCTGGTCAGAAACCACCCATATACCCAGGACCAGAGGATCCACTTCAATCCAGACATTCATGTTTTCTTCTTTTCTTCAATTGTGACCCTGGAGCACAAAACCAGTCAGAAGGGTACATTTTTTAAAATTGAGATTTATATATCATCTGAGAGCTGAATAAATAATCTTTCCATGTATGTATGGTTTGTTAGGATAGGACAATATTTGGCTGAGATATTGAGAAAATCATCTTTAAAGTTGTCCAAATGAAGTTCTTAGCAATGCATATTACTAATCAAAAATTAAGTTTTGATATATGTACGGTAGGAAATTTACAAAATATCTTCATGGAACATGATCTTTACTTAATATCCTAATGATTTTTGGCATAAAAGAAAAATGTATAATTTTGACCCATACAATGTATTGTTGGCTATTGCTACAAATATACCCCAGCGACTTAAGACTGCTTTTGTGCTCCAGGGACACATTTGTTTTATAATCATTAGTAGTTTAAATCATTATTTTGGGGATTTTTAATCATAATCATTTGTCAATTTTATTATGCTTGTTGTTTAATCTTACGATTGTGGAGTTTCATGGAGAGCTGGTCTTCATGAGTAAGACAGAATATTAGTTCTAGGCTTTATGGGATGTTGATGAGGTCATTTAGTCTAATAACACTTGTTATATTTGTCATGATCTGAAACAAATGCAACTAAGATTCTTTAATAAACTCATTTTGATCATCATCACTTCATCTCCTGCTCTTCTCTGGTTTCCTCAGGCAGCGTCTCAGCTGACAGAAGACTGAATACGGTTCTGGGTAAAAGATGAAACGGTTATGTTCTGTAGACTTGATCTAACAGAATTGTGTTTATAAATGCAGCTGGATGTGAGTTTCATCAGACGGGACGATGCTCAGGGACTATCAGTCTGTTCTTCACACTGCTCTATCAGGTGACGGCACAAGCCCTTCAGACTGCTGCTGTTACACTGGATAGAGCTGCGTGACGCTTCTTCCTTAATGTCTATTTTAGTGTGGAAGTGAAGCTCGGAGCCGGAGCTCATGTGTTCAGATACCTGGTAGACAGCAGCATCCAGGTTACTTAATGCCACGAAGGCCATGTTGTTCTGGACAGCATAGACCACCGACGGCACACTCAGCTTCAGCAGCTCCACCGGACTCCTGAGAATATTACTGACCACCACACTCCCGCAGCGGCCCCAGTCTCCACTCTCCCTGCAGCACACACACACACAGGTGAGGAGGACACACACACACACACTCACTCACACACACTCACTCACTCACTCACTCACTCACTCTGACACTCTCTC